AAGTGTGGAAAATTTCATACTCCTCTGTCCGCGCAATTTTCGTAAAAAGGGATACAAAGTTTTTGCTTCACGTATTAATATATAGATTGAAAAGTTAAAAACGGTAATATTTATTTTAACTTTATCTACGTAAATACTGAGCATTAAAAAAACAAATTTACTTACGGTTCGGAATTGTCGAAATTCACATTCAAACAAAATGATAGATAGTGATAGAGAATTGAAATCTATTTAAATAACAAATAGTAGTTTTAAAAAAAAATTAACAAAATACGCTTTTATAGAAAATCCAACTTAAAAAATAAAAAATTAAATTTGAATTAAAAATATGGGGTGCTTTTCAGGATATTATCGAAATAACCCTTCTACTCATATCTGTTCATAAAATATTTATAACTACTGATACCATGCACCCTACGCTTTTTTTCAATAAAATCATATTTTCTTACACTATTTTGAATCCAAATTTTTCCTTTTTTTTTTTTTTTTTTCTATAAAAGCGTATTTTGTTAGATTTTTTTTAAACTATTATTTATTTTTCATTTTTTAATTGAATTTCAATATGTTCTATTTTTTTTAAATATTGAATTGTCATAATTTCAGAACGCCGGCAACAGATTGGATAATTCTTTTTTGATGTGATTGTTATTGTCAGGAGAAGGTTTTATGACGAAAAATTTTTTTTTTTAAATTTGTGCGGAAAATTACACATATTAAGAAAACTTAACCATCATATTAAGTTTTGTAATGAATGTAACCTTATGGCGTTTGACATATAATAACATTGATAGAATGCATGCTGCAAATATCAGATTTGTATTAAAGAAAATTCAATAAAATCAATAATTCAATAAATTTTAGTATATATCCGAAGCGAAACGACAGCTGGTCGCTAGTCTATACTAATATTATAAAGAGGAAAGATTTGATTGTTTGTTTGTATTGAATAGGCTCTGAAACTACTAAACCGATTTGAAAAATTCTTTCACTGTTTGGAAGCTACACTATTTCCGAATGAGATAGGCTATATCTTTTTTGAAAAAAATTAGGGATCCTTACTAAAAGTCCAATAATGTAACCCAAGGTGTAAAAAAATTACTTAAAATATTCTTTACATCGCGTATCCTGCGAAAACTATTGGCAATAGTATAAAATAATGTACTACGACTTTGTAGAACACATTATTATTTACAAAAAGTGTCGCGACAGCATATGTCTAACTATTATAGTTATGACGCAATAAGTGTTCTTTTATTTAAAAAAATAAAACAACGTCAAATAACGTTGAAATTTTTGTTTAAGACCCGTGCGGAGCCGGAGCGCGTCGCTAGTATTAAATCTATATATTAATACGTGAAGCAAAAACTTTGTATCCCTTTTTACGAAAATTGCGCGGACGGAGGAGTATGAAATTTTCCACACTTATAGAGAATACAGAGAAGAAGTGCACAATGCTATTTTTTTTTTTAAATAATGCATAAAAGATACATTAAATCAATAAAGAAAACATTACACTACACTACATACCATGTATTCGACGCACACACACATGCATACTATTTATTGTCAAACTTTTGTTCTTGACGTCTGTTGTCAAATTGATATTAAATATTGTTTGTCTTTGTTAATATTTTTTATAGAGTAGCCTTGGCGAAATTTGTGATTATAGAAGTATAAAATACAATCATAATAGTGTACAAACTTATTATACAATCCCAATTAATTATAGTCGAATTTCGACTACTGCGGGACCTCTAGTAAAAATAAATGTATATAGTTAATAGGAACGGCATTCGAATTTGTAATAATCACGCTTGACAGTCTATCAACGATGCTCTTGACACGTTTAATGACATCGACGATGGTTGTTGCGCTTATCCCAGAAAAAAAATAACATTAAAACATCAAACAAGTTTATATTTGGACGGTATTTACGACACGCGGGCTCTGCTCGGTGGGAATATTTTAATCGCGAATTACTTTATGATTTATTCGATACGAACGCTTCTAAACACACGAATATAAATAATAATTTAAAAAAAAAACTAACAAAATACGCTTTTAGAGAAAATATAAGTAAAAAATAAAAAAAATGTGTAAGAAAAAATGATTTTACTGTAAAAAAGCATGGGGTGCTTTTCAGGATATGATCAAAATAGCCCTTCTACTTATATCTGTTCATTAAATATTTATAATCTGGCTAGATGGTGCGATGACCTCCGCACGGTGGCCGGCAAGAAGTGGATGAGGAGAGCCGCAGACCGGGCTCAGTGGTGTAGATTGGGAGAGGCCTATGTCCAGCAGTGGACGACTGTGGGCTGTTGATGATGATGATGAAATATTTATAACTACTGATATCAATTCTTTTTTCAGTTTTTTTTTTAAATATTAAATTGTCATCGGTCCTTAATAAGTATACCAAATTTCGAGTTAATCCGACGTTTTGAAGGGGGTCAAAATCATGTTCAAAGATTCCGTTACATACTAACATACATACGTCTGAAGCTAATAAAAGCGTATTAATAAATGCTGATGCCGATTTCTAAATAGATGTATGTTTTTTTTTTTATTGCGTAAATGGGTGGACAAGCTCACAGCCCACCTGGTGTTAAGTGGTTACTGGAGCCCATAGACATCTACAACTCTCTGCGTAAATGCGTCTCACGTATAGTTACAACGGCTGCCCCACCTTTCAAACCGAAACGCATTACTGCTTCACGGCAGAAATAGGCGAGGCGGTGGTACCTACCCGTGCGGACTCACAAGAGGTCCTACTACCAGCAATTACGCAAAATTATAATTTTGTGGGTTTTTGATTTTTACTACACGATGTTATTCCTTCACCGTGGAAGTCAATCGCGAACATTTATTGAGTACGTATTTCATTAGAAAAATTGGTACCCGCCTGCGGGATTCGAACACCGGTGCATCGCTACATACGAACGCACCGGACGTCTTATCCTTTAAGCCACGACCATGTATACCAACGACATGTGGACTCGCAAGTCGTCCTACCATCTATCACTAGTTCCCTGAACTAGTACTACCTAGATACTTGAGGACATTGAGTTGCGGGACACCCTGTATATATAGAACTTGAACGAACCAAATATTTACGTAAACTAGAGGCCCCGCAGTAGTCGAAATTCGACTATAATCAATTGGAATTGTAAGTTTGTACACTATTATGATTGTATTTTATACTTCTATAATCACAAATTTCGCCAAGACTACACTATAAAAAATATTAACAAAGACAAACAATATTTAATCTCGATTTGACAACAGACGCCAAGAACAAAAGTTTGACAATAAATAGTATGCATGCGTGTGTGCGTCAAATACATGGTATGTAGTGTGTGTAATGTTTTCTTTATTGATTTAATGTATCTTTTATGCATTCTTTTTAAAAAAAATTAGCATTGTGCACTTCTTCTCTATATTCTCTATAAGCGTGGAAAGTTTCATACTCCTCCGTCCGCGCAATTTTCGTAAAAAGGGATACAAAGTTTTTGCTTCACGTATTAATATAAAGATAAATAAAAAACAATTAAACTCTCATAATAATATAATTTATTTTTCACGTAATACCTTACAAATCGGCTAAAATCGCTAAAGTAATTAGTAAAATTATTATTTACAACGAAAATACAGTGGAGGGAAATTACAATTGTAGAGGTGTTTACATATACCTATATGACTTGAGGATAATATTCACAATTAAAATCGGTGAAAAGAAAAAAAGCATAAAACAATTTCCGCCATTTTTTAAATATTGAAACAACAAACACAAGATAGTTTTTTTTAAATAAACATTTTGTTCAGAACGAAAAAAAAATATGTAAACACCTTACAATATCCAATAAACTATTTATTATTTACATTAAAAAAAATTATACAAATTACCAATTAATAGCACTTCTTGAATTATTTTATTAATTAAATAACACACTAATACGATATTAATACAATAATAGTGAATTAGTTTAATTAATTATCGTTATGGTCTATAATTGCAATCCAGATTGTTATATTAAATATTTAAACTTATAATATCTATGGTTGTAATTTGTTTTGTGCATCGATTAAAGGAAAAAAAATCGTCTTTTTTTGTTTCCATTTATCGATTTTTTTTAATCGATTTTTTCCCCCAAGATTCATAAGGTTTTGTTGCGGCGAAATGATACCACCAATCCCAATTTTATGATTTATTTTTTATATATTGCTTAGAAGGGTGGACGAGTTCACAGCCCACCTGGTATTAAGTGGTTACTGGAGTCCATAGACATCTACAACGTAAAGCGCCACCCACCTTGAGATATAAGTTCTATGGTCTCAACTGTAGTTACAACGGCTGCCCCACCCTTCAAACCGAAACGCATTACTGCTTCACGGCAGAAATAGGCAGGGTGGTGATACCTACCCGCGCGGACTCATAAGAGGTCCTACCACCAGTAGTCCTTAACGCGCGCACGAATTGTCAAGTTAATCGGATATCTTGAAGTCAATGAAAATTACGTTTAAAGATTCCGTTACATAGATATATAGATGTGACGATAAATAATATATCTGGATATCGGACTCCTGTAGGTCCCGTCATTCATCAATGATGTACCAGATTCTGAACTCTAAAGACAATATCGTCTCTGTCAAATCAAAATCTGCTATGTGTTCAAAATATACATTTTGGAATTAACGAGTAAAACCATTTTAGTATAAAATTTTATATTAAAGTGAATTTTTAAGTACTATATATTATATCAAATGAAATGGTAGTGCAAGGTAGAGGGGGAAGAGGTCGACCGAAGAAGACATGGATGGAGTGTGTGAATGACGATATGAGAGAGAGAAGAGTGAGTGTTGAGATGACGGCTGATAGAAGAGAATGGAAGAGAAAAATTAGCTGTGCCGACCCCACCAAGTGGGATAAGGTGGAGAAAAAGAAGATACATCAAATGAAAGCTATAAATAAATATTAAAGCTATAGACACATAACAGTCTTTTTATACGGTAGATAGGGTTGTGAACTATACGAAAAGGTCAAAAAGTGCACATAGCAGATTTTGGTTTGACAACGACGATATGTCATAAAGTCCCTTCGCTTTGAACATTATCGCAAAAACGCGTTTTTAGCATGCTTTCATTAGCACGAACTCTATCAGTCTATATAGTATTTGATTTCACAAAAAAAAAACGTCCGATTAACTTAAAAATTAGCACATGGATCGAGGAATAATTGCAATGTTTTTTTGTTGTTGCTTCGACAATTTCCTAATCAAGATCGTCAGACTAAAAAAACAGATTAGTTCGGCAGTAATCAAAACGTGCTTTTTCGTTATAAAACTATATTTATTTTCATTTAGTTTAAATCGATTTAAAACGTTACGTTTTACCGGTTAGAGCACGACGCTTTCTAACACATTCATTGCTACTTTTACTAACATTATTTTAGGAGCTAAACTAATAGTTTATCTGTTTGGTTATGATATCGCATCATTTAATTAAAAATATCCTTATTAATTATAATAACGTTTTATTCCAGTAATTCACCAACATTATTTTTCTTCGTTACAACGACAGTATGAACCTTCGAGCTCAATGATTCAATTAATTAAAATCAGTTCAGTAGTTTTTTTCGTAAGATTCCAAAAGAAATATTAAATAAATTATGAAATGTAAACGAAAATGCGTAAACTTATGACCAATACACTATTATAAATATGCTCAAATATAATATCAAAGATGCTTTTTTTTTTTATTTCCAATAACATTATTTGTTTACTTCATTTAATGTATTTTTGTTATAATTTTTAAGCTTTTCGTTACTATTCATTCGTTTCGCTACCCTTAGATATTTGATTGTATTTTCGGGTACTTTTACCGAGGAAACTGAGAGGAATATGATGAAGCATTGTCAACTGCTGAAGACTCTTCTCATTTGACGAAGGTCTGGTGGTAGCACCAAAGAAAATGCCGTGGACCGGACTTTATACGTCAGAGTCGTATTTAAAAAAAACTATTTTTGGATGTAGTCAGCAGTACAAAGAAGTCTGATCTGGTGGAAGATGAGGTGACGATTACAGAAAAAGAAGAGACCATCTTGAACAATTCTTTTGAGGTCTCCGTGGGACAGCACGGAAACTACTCCATAGACTTGAGTGATTCCAAACGATTCGATTTTATATCGATGACTTTGTCCAGTTTGTAATTAGTGTGGGCTCCGGTTTAAATGTCACAACTGACAGCTGTCAATTTTGACTTGTGTCAAAACAAAATGAGTCCGTATTTTTTTGCCAATACAACAAGTGTTAATACCGTATTCCTAAAATTACTATAACATCTATAAACTGCTAATACTATAATATATGTTTTTTTTTAACAATTACTTGACTATTGCCATTATTTAAATACAAATAAATATATTTACATTATTAGGAACATTTTTGTTTTATTTATTTATTTATAATCTATTGTTTTTTTAATTAATCAGTAAGACTCAATGCGGCTACGTTACATAAGTAATAATAATATTAAACATTGCGGTCTTGTCTGAAATTTACCGTAAAATTATGTATTTTCATATGGCAACATTTGGAAGTAGCTAAACCCGAAAACAAACTTACGTAATTCAGGCAAAACCTCTATGACATATCCGCCAAAAATTTGCCACCGAAAAACATATCCAATTCCCTCGCATTACGGTCCCCGTGTGTACCGGTTAGGTAACGCGTCCTAACGTATTCCTTCGTTTGAAATTCGAGAAAGTAAACACAATAGAGACGAGAAAGTTCCAAATTTGAAATTTCACGAAAACCGTTATCGTGACGTCACCAAAACAATCGCACCATCGCCTTTACGTAACATTGATCTCCTCTTCCTCGTCGCTCTCCGTGACGGTGCTGTGGTTGTAGAGACCCTGGGCCATGAGCTGCAGCGCCAGCGGGTTCCTCTGGCCCGACGCCTTCTTTATCTTGGCCCGTTTGTTCTGGAACCAGATCTTGATCTGCGCCTCGGCGAGGCCCAGCTCCGCCGCGAGGCTCTGCCGCCGCCGCTCAGTCAGATACCGGTTCTCGGCGAACTCATGCTGGGGACAAAGCGATATATATTAGCACGTCGTCATGTCTCAAGACGTCCGGTGCATTCGTGTTGAGCGATGCACCGGTGTTCGAATCCCTCAGGCGGGTACCTATTTTCCTAATGAAATACGTACTGAACAAATGTTCACGATTGCCTTCCACGGTGAAGGAATAACATCGTGTAATAAAAATCAAGAACCCGCAAAATTATAATTTGCGTAATTACTGGTGGTAGGACCTCTTGAGAGTCCGCGCGGTACCACCACCCTGCCTATATCTGCCGTGAAGCAGTAATGCGTTTCGGTTTGAAGGGTGGGGCAGCCGTTGTAACCATACTTGAGACCTTAGAACTTATATACCTCAAAGTGGCTGGCGCATTTACGTTGTAGATGTCTATGGGCTCCAGTAACCACTTAACACCAAGTGGTCTGTGAGCTCGTACACTCATTTACGTACGTATTTCATTAGAAAAATTGGTACCCGCCCGGGATTCCAACACCGGTGCATCGCTCAACACGTATGCACCGGACGTCTTATCCTTTAAGCCACGACGACTTCCAAATTACAGAAACAGTGACTGCTTATTATTTTCCCAGAGATGTCAGAAGGTATGATGACTTCCGGGGTACCTCGGTACCCCGTGGGCTAAACATGGCTTCTAGTATGGCGTTCAAGGTGTTAAACAAACAGACACGTACTATTAAACCTATAAAAAGAACGTTCTGCACCAACCTTCAATCTCGCGAGTTGTGCCCCGCTGAAAGCGGTCCGTGGTCTCTTCTCTTCAGGCGCTGCTTTCTTTTTAACCCTTCTGCTTCTGGGACCTGTCGACAATGCAAAACGCCGGTCATAAATTACGTCAAAACAGGATTTTAACATTAATCTAGTAACAACTAGCGATCCGCCCTCGCTTCGCTTCGGAAACTGTAATTTATTATTGATTTCTCCACTATTTAATGGATGTTATTATCTATATATTAATACGTGAAGGAAAAACTTTGTATCCCTTTTTACGAAAATTGCGCGGACGGAGGAGTATGAAATTTCCCACACTTATAGAGAATATAGAGAAGAAGTGCACAATGCTAATATTTTTTCAAAATAATGCATAAAAGATACAGTAATCTGTGGTCAAATTGAGAATAGATTAAATATTGTTTGTCTTTATTAATATTTTTCTATAGTGTAGTCTTGGCGAAATTTGTGATTATAGAAGTATAATAAGTCTTTGTAAATAGAATCATAATAGTGTACAAACTTATAATTTCAATTAGTTATAGTCGAATTTCGACTACTGCGGGGCCACTAGTACATATAAACCTTCCTCTTCAATCACTCTATCTATAAAAAAAAAAGCCGCATCAAAATCCGTTGCGTAGTTTTAAAGATTTAAGCATACATAGGGATATAGGGACAGAGAAAGCGACTTTGTTTTATACTATGTAGTGATAGTGAAGTGGGTAGATAGCGATTTCCGCGCCATCTATTGTAAGTTGGTATTGCGACAGAAACCCAACCCCAGAATTGCCATCTAGAGTCATTACTCTCTGGTAAAGTTGCAAAAATGCCAAAGCCAAATGGCCAGCCTTTTTTTATTTTATTGCTTAGATGCGTGGACAAGCTCACAGCCCACCTGGTGTTAAGTGGTTACTGGAGCCCATGGACATCTACAACGTAAAGGCGCCACCCACCTTGAGATATAAGTTTTAAGATCTCAATATAGTTACAACGGCTGCCCCACCCAAAACGCATTACTGCTTCACGGCAGAAATAGGTAGGGTGGTGGTACCCACCTGCAAGAGGTCCTACCACCAGTAAAAAGCCTTTCAACCCTCGACATAATTTCATTACTTCAGTCTCATATCCTGACCATGATCATAAAAAAAACTTCCTCCTGGTGATTATTAAGCGTTTTTAGCACGCTTTTATTTATCGTTTAATGGTGCTTAATGAAATAAACGAAAAATTGCAAAAAAAAGCAGTCATATTCCAATTTTTTACGTTCTGTAAACGCAATGCCTACTGCTAAGCTTAAAATAAAATAATAATCTATTTTAGAAGATCTCTTTGCGTTCGCGTGCGATATTATAAGGACCTATAAATTTTTCGGTGTTGTCAGACTTTAAATCAAATAAGGGATCGGTAGATCTTTTTTAAGATTTAATCTTTAAACTTCATTTGAATAAGTAAATACGTGTGCTTCGTAATATTTGTCAGAGTATCTAGCTAAAATGTTTTTAATGCCCAATATTTTAACTGACGATTTTTCAAGAAAAACAATTAATAATCTCTACTAAAGAGGAAAGATTTGTTTGTTTGTTTGTATTGAATAGGCCCCGAAACTACTGAACCGATTTGAAAAATTCTTTAACTGTTTGGAAGCTACACTATTCCCGAGTGACATAGGCTATAAGCTTTTTTGAAAAAAAATTGGGATCTTTACTAAAACTCCAATAATGTAACTCACGGTGTAAAAAAATACCTAAAATATTCTTTACATCGCGTGCCCTGCGAAACTATTGACGATAGAATAAAACAACGTACTACGACTTTGTAGAGCACATTATTATTTATAAAAAGTGACGCGACAGCATATTTCTTACTATTACAGTTATGCCGCAATAAGTGTTATTTTATTTTAAAAAATAAAACAACGTTAAATATCGTTGAAATTTTTGTTAAAGACCCGAGCGGAGCCGGAGCGGGCTGCTATCAAAAATAAACGTGTAGGTAAAAGAAAACACGATCACTTAGAAATGTTATAGTAAATATATATTTTTTTTATAATTCATTTAAAAAACACAAAAAGCAAATGTCGTAGCTTTTAGAAGTAAATTTTGAAACCGCTAACAACACTGTACAGAATAAATTTTCAATTCATATTCCGAGCGCTGGCAGCACCGCTATCAAAGGGAAATGGCCGCACAATAAACACTTCTGCGGTTTCCGCTAACTGCCAACTTTACTTTTTCCTTTTCGTTAAGCGAATTCACACTTTAACACTGTCATTATAAATCGCATATCAGATCGTGAGAAACGTGTTTCAGATTCGGAAATTTAATTTTACAGTAGTAGGTAGTGACGATAGTATTCGAATAAATAAGTACTTTAACTTCAGACGCGAAACGTTCTGTTTCGATCGAAAAAGTGAAATTGACAGTTATTTAGAAAATTAAATAATACTAGAGGTCCCGCAGTAGTCGAAATTCGACTATAATTAATTGGAATTGTAAGTTTGTACACTATTATGATTGTATTTTATACTTCTATAATCACAAATTTTGCCAAGACTACACTATAAAAAATATTAACAAAGACAAACAATATTTAATCTATTCTCAATTTGACAACAGACGTCAAGAGCAAAAGTTTGACAATAAATAGTGTGCATGCGTGTGTGCGTCAAATACATGGTATGTAGTGTGTGTAATGTTTTCTTTATTGATTTAATGTATCTTTTATGCATTATTTAAAAAAAATATTAGCATTGTGCACTTCTTCTCTATATTCTCTATAAGTGTGGAAAATTTCATACTCCTCTGTCCGCGCAATTTTCGTAAAAAGGGACACAAAGTTTTTGCTTCACGTATTATTATATAGATATTTATCCAAAAGTCTGTCTTTAGGGAAATGCAAAAAAAAAATTGGGCAATTCGAAAATAGAACAGGAAACGTATACAACACAAATCTTTTGGATAGTTAAAAAAAAAAATTAAGACCGCGATCGATGCAAAGGATTTTCGTCTTTAACCTACCTAGTGATTAAAGTTGAAATTCTCGTGTGAAAACAAAAATATTACCGTTCGTAGGTAGCCCCGCGTCGTTTATCACCCGATAAAACGGCCTGTAGCGTTTTTTATTCGTGTTTTTAATTAAACAAAGTCCCGCGAAAACGTTTCCCGGAGTGTTTTCGCGGTAACGAGCGTAACGCGGTGGGCGGGCCCGGGATATTACTGGGCTGGATTCTTCCCGGACGATTTTTATGTCCAATTGTTATATGTATAATCTGTGTACTCAAAAAGAAGAATATTTGACTTTTTGGCGGGAACGCGAGGAGTGAAGTCGTGTGATTTGTTTTATTTTGTCTATTTAGTGTTTCTTCAGGTTTAAATGTGTAATAACGGTGGTTTATTAACTGTTTAATATATGTGAAAGTGCACAAATGTGGGAAAATGAAACAAAGCCGCTGGACGTCACTTCTCGGAATCCTCCAAGAAGTCCAATGGAAAAGTCTCATTAAATGACCACCATTTTACTGAGATTATATTTCATCCCATAGGTATCAACTCATCTCATTTCATTTGATTTCATCCCAGTTGATTAATGTCTCAAATTAATCATCTTCATTTCATTTCACTCCATAATATCATTTTTCATAAAAATAAGAATATAAATTAAAATTGTCTTACATGGCTTAAAGGTCTCAGTTACCAGGTCATTAAATCATTTAAAAAAAAACGAAAAATATTTGTGCACGTCGTGTTCTTTTTTTCTAAAATCTGACATATAAAATTTTGGCGGTAAAATATTTTATGTTATCTGTGACTTGTTCGATTACGTGAAAACGCGCAATGTTGTGAGCGCTCCCGACCCTCGGCTGTTAACGCCGCCAATTTAAATGTGCGTAATGAATTCGTGCGTTCTGGACAAATGAATTATAATCGCGATTCGGTCGGCTAATGCTCTTTAGTGTTCGCAAGTATTTTAACTGCTCGAGTTTCTGCGCGCCTGGTACCATGATGTGACCTTTCAGTGTAACTAGTCCTTGTTATTTATTTGTTTATGTTAGCGTAGTTAAGTTAGTTGGGTTATTTGATAGGAGTTTAATATCCTTGGTCCCGTGGCCTGTTCCCAAAAGCTGCAGACCTTAAATTTTTTTAAAGAGATAATTGAAATTTCAAAAAGAATTTAATGGTGCAAGCAAATCGTGGAGATAATTATTGAAAGTAATCTTGATATAATTGAGACCACATGAGATATATAAAAAAATATAATGTCAAAATCGTTGAAAAAATTTTCAAATCGGCTTACCTAGAAATAAAGTTCTGAGGTAACAACAACACAAATAAAAAAATACAGTCGAATTGAGAACCTCCTCCAGTTTTGAAATCGGTTAAAAAATCCACATCACCCTCTTCCTTAGAAGAAAGGTATGTAAGCTAAAGAAATCGCATTAAGAAATCGGACTTGTAATGTGATTGTGTTTTTACATTAATTCGCGAATTGAAGTGTGCTCAATTTCGGATGTGGTATGTTATCAGTTACATCAAAATAAATTTTGGAAATACTTCAATACTTCCCGTTTATATTTCCAGCCATGTATTTTCGTACTATCCATATTAAATTATAATCCCATGACTTTGCAAAGGTGAATCATCATGATATTGTATCGAGAGTAAAGTAAGCAATTGTACAACATTGATAACTTTTTTCCTAAGCAAGTCTTTAATATTTTATTTCATAATTACTCTATTGAAAAGCTAAGAATAGCCTGTGCTGTAACCCAAACCTCACCTTCTTCGAAGGTTCGACGCCTAGAAGATGCTTGTAACATTCAAGATTGAATATAAGGGCTCACTTTGATATAATTAATCAAATAGTCAAGGAGAGTTACTGTATATGTACAAATTTGCGATTAAAACAATAAAATTTGTCTCATATTAGTATTAGTCCCTGTGTCGGCTGTTTGTCTGGTAATGCTGTGAACGTGCTAACGTATTGTGTCCATAAACGCTACGTAATTACTTATTAAAAGTTATTTCACAATCGCCAGAGAAGAATGCAATCTTGAATCTCAAGAAGAACGCATTTGAACCTTAAAACC